GTGGGGGAACTTGCACAATCGGTGGCTGACTAAATACTTTTTTGCCCCACTGTAAATACCTCTGAAATCATTCAAATTTAAATAATTCACCATATTGAGTGGCAGCAAGTATGAGTAGCTCTTGAGAGAGTGTTCAGTTTTAAATGTGTATTTTCCAAATATCGTGATGTGCACAACTCTGGGAAAAGTAATGTCCGCAAGAGATAATCTTCTTAGCCCTTGTTCGTCACCCTCAGAATGGCTTCCTCAACTTCAGTAATATGTGGTGTCTAAAGGCTAGTAAGTAGAAGTACACGCCATTTTTGCCGTCAGTTCTGGTGGGAAATGTCAACTCACTAGTCGACAAGTGTGACGAGTTGGGTTAGACTGGTTGGGAAGCACTGGTGAGAAATCCGTCAGTCTAACAGTGAGTCTTTTTAACAGGATGTATTTTAAGATACTTACTCAGCAGTGTGTTAACTGTAACCTTTTCAGGATCCACCCCAACCTGCGTTCAGTGGTGTACTGCAGTGCCATTGCAGCAGGTGATGAGGCTGAGTGGGAGTTTGGATGGTCACAATTTAAGATTGCTTCTGTAGCAAATGAGGCCAACAAACTCATGTTTGCATTGGCCTGCACAAACAACACAGAGCTGCTAAACAGGTATGTGTGTCCTTCCTGTGCACAAATAAATGGAACATATAGTGATGTAACAAGTCAGTAAGAAAATCCCTTATGTGGCCCATAAATCAAGTCAGGGAATTTACAAACAAAGCAGATTTTTTTTTAAGCTCCTTGGGTTAAAGCCTTAGAATTAACAAACTGATATAATGAAAAGAACTGTTTTTTAAAGCAGTATTGTCTCCCATAAAAAAAAAACTTATAAAGGAACTCATTATAAAAACTGAAACTATTTTTGCAATCTATTGTAGCTTTAAACTTTTTAAGAAACACTGAGTTGAGTGTGGATACAGCAGAGACTCCAAGAATAAACATAGGTGAAGGAGCTTTAGTAAGTGCATTTCTTGTTTTAACTGTTTTCACAGGTATCTGTCTTACACTTTAAACTCCACTATCATCCGGAAGCAGGATGCCACCAGTGTCATCACATCTGTCGCCAGCAACAGAGCAGGACAAAAGCTGGCTTGGGACTTTGTCAGAAACCATTGGGAATACATGTTCACAGAGTTAGTATCACACTGATAAAAAATAATTTGCATGTGTGAGGTGGAGCAATAACTGAAAATACAGAAAACATCAACATGGAGTGTGAATTTTAGCACAGTAGCATAAGGTTGTTAAAATATACTTTTACCCTTTTTTGATTGACAAAATAATAATCAGCACTTCTTTTATTCTGAAAGCATTTATCAACCATCAGTTTAAGTCCTGAATGAATATTTTAATACGGTCAATTGAAGTCACAATGGATTGTTATATGCCAAGTAAAGGAGGGTTCAAAACCTGAGCTGGTACAGGTGTGGTCAGAAGTCTACAGGGGCATGATTATTATGGTAATTTGTGGCTCTTGATGATTTCTAGTAACTTTATTTTTCCAGGAAATGGTTGTACAGCATAGCTCTATAATGACTTTTAAAAAGGGTATACACGTTTGAATTTACTTTGGATTTTCTCTAATGCCATAATGGCACCGGATACCGGTACCCATCCCTATTCTTCAGTGACCTTTTTCACTCACTATGTGTTTATCCAGCACTCCATTTTAATCTGTGGCGCTCTTCCACAGCATGTCTTTGTCCCGTCTTCCCCCTTTCACCCCAGCTGGTGATAGTAAATGGACCAGGCTCAGCTTCCTTAACCTGGTTCTGCTAGAAGTTTCTTCCTGTTAAAAGGAAGTTTTTCGACCTTATAATATAAAGTGCTTTAAGGCAACTTTCGTTGTGATTTGGTGCCATATAAATAAAACTGAACTGAATTGATAATTTTTTATCATTTGTTCCTTTTGAGTTTTGTTATTTCATGCTTTAGGCCCTTGCCTAGCTTTTGTTATAGTTCGTTAGTTCCCTTTTCTGATTCCTCTCTATTTCCGCATGTCTGTCTGGTTGTCTCCGTGTTCTGTCTCTGTGGTTTCTGGTCTCTCCCTGTTTAGTTGTGTCAGATGGTCTTTTCTCTCTAGTCTCCGTGTTTCTTTCCCCTTTTTCTGTCAAGTTTGTATATCTTTGTCTCTGTCTCAGTGTTATGTTTCCTGTTTTATTTAGACAGTCCCCTGTCTTGTGTGCATTCTGTTCACTTTTCTCCCTACTGTCTCATTAGTCAGTTTCTGTTCCGGTGTGTTCCCTAGGTGTATCTAGTCTGCTTTGTAACCTCCTGTGTCTGTTTTAGTCCTCCATTTGCCTCAGTTCATTTCCCTCATTTCTCCTCATGCTGTTTTTTCACTCGTCCTGTGTGTTTCCTAGTTTCCACGTTCCTGGTTTCATCTGTGCCTGAGTATTTAGTATTTTTGAGTTCGAGTACTAGCAGTAAAGCTGGCCTTTAAGTTTATGTTTAGTCTGTGGAGTCCTGCATTTCGGTTTATTCCCTGCTTACCACACTGATGACCGTAATGTATACAATTGTAACTTGGCTTTGGTTTAATAAAACTAAAAAATAAACCATAAATAAACCATGATATTCATTCCCATGAATGTATGTTAATTTCTGACCACAACTGTAAATATGCCAAATTTTATGTGTGCAAAGCTTCCAAGAATCTGTGAAATAAAGCATTCTCGTGTTCTTTCAGATATGGCGTGGGCTCTTTCTCCTTTGCTTCTATGATCACTGGGGTAACAGCGAGGTTCTCCACACCTGCTGAACTACAGGAGGTATACATTGATTAGGTACAATACAAAACCAATTTTTAAATGTTAAGCTTTTGTCTGAAGTCTTTTCCTATGATTTCTCTCACAGCTGAAGGAGTTTGTCGAGGCGCACAGTGCAACAGGGTTTGGTTCTGCCACACTGGCTATAGATCAGGCCCTGGAGAGGACCAGAATGAACATCAAGTGGCTGCAGACAAACAAACAGGAAATCCTGAACTGGTTCAACAGTCAGAACGGAGATCAAATGCAGTAACAAAGGTGTGTTTGGAGATTTAGTGTTGTTTTGGTTTTTTTCTGGAAAAAAAGAGTGACAATTTTATAAACTACTGGTGTTAAAAATGAAAAACGGCATGCAGTAATAAAGTAGTGAAAGATGTCTGTCCAAATTAAATTTGATTTGACTGTATATGAGATGTGTTTTAATAAATAATAAACTCAGATGATCCCTTTATTAAACTGACTGACAAATGCAAATAAACTAAAATGTAACCAAACTTTAAAAACATTTTACCCATTTTATTTTAGATAGATATCAGATTTGATGATATCCTCACATCAGAACTAAAAAATGTATTTCATAGATGTGTTATGGGATCTGACAAAGTCTGATTTTAATGGTGAACAAGTCTTCCTTACTTTTTATAAACTTCAAAACTCGCCTCTGTCAGTGCGCCCCAGGGCAGCTGTGGCTACAATGTAGCTTGCCATCACCAGTGTGTGAATGTGAATGGGTGGATGACTGAATGTAGTGTAAAGTGCTTTGGGGTCCATAGGGACTAAGTAAAGCGCTATACAAATACAGGCCATAGGGTCTTTGCCTCAGGTCTGTCCTTCTGTCTCGTTAATCTCTTAGAACAGCAATTTTCTTTTTTCAGTAACTGATGCAGGGAACCTCTTATAAGCAATACTTTTTCCACTGCGAGATTTCTGCTGCGTATTCAGAGAAGGACAAAATTTGCTGTGACTTTTGCCTTCTCTCACAACATGTTGTTGTAATGCTGTTCATTTCAATGCCTTCATTCATTTTAAGTCCAGAATACGTATGAGTGAAAAAAAATAACTAGGAAGGTGAAAATTGTAAGAAAGAGAAGTCAACCAGCAGATTAGATTTTACCTAGCAAAGTGTCTTCAGGTCAGAGAGAGAGAGAAATAAAAGTACACAGCTTTGGTCACATATATTTTGTACTCCACTGTATTGATTTTGTCAAGGTCTGCATTGGCAGACCATGTGGAGTAGAGAATTAAAGACCCAACATAGGACAATTTTAACTGAAAGTAAGACATTTATTGTGTTTGATAAAAAGTATGAAACAAAGGGCTAGGCAAACCAATACGACACTAAACAAAAACCTGAACTGTGGAAACAAGAAAGTAAACATGAAAAACCATAAACCTGGTGAGAATTCGTAAATACCTGGAAGCATGAAACCTTGATAACATGGCATAAACATAACAGACAACTTGACAATGAATGCATGAGAGTTCATACAGACAGGAATACACAAGAGGGTGACGAGGGAAAAGGAAGCACACGGGCAACACAGCTAGGACGAATAAACATAATAACAAGTCAGGAGGAAGCAAACTGAACACGCTGAACATAAGACGCGGGAATGTCAAAGTAAAACAGGAAACACGCAGACCAAGACACACACACTTGACATGGCAATAGGGAAATAGAAACTGGAAATGAGACATGGAAATAAATAAGCAACAAATACAGAGAACATGATGGCTAGGGAGAACACACATGACAGATGGAATGGGAGACAAGGGGAAACATGTAAATAAGAGGTGGAGACAGAGGGAGAGAGGGAGCGAGACACGAAGGGAGACAAAGACATCGCTGAGACACACAAAGGGCAAGGGAGACTTAAACACAAGGGACATGACAGACTCACACGATGAAGGCACGGCACTATAACCAACATAGTGGGAGAGACACCTACGTGGGAGGAACCTAAACAAGGAAACAGAGAACTCAAACAGAACTAACTGAAGCCTAAACTATACAAACGACATCATATTACAAAAAGGCATGAAACTCAAAATGCTGGGTCAAAAGACCCAGCACATGACAGTAATCCAGTACAGTCCAGTACAGTACTCATGCGGAAACATCAAAAAAGACAAAATGTTGGACTTCAATACACAGATAAATATTCTATTAACTTTAAATAATGTGACTGCAATATTCACTGATCATAAGCATCTCTGTCAGGAACCGGCTGTGTGCTGGCAGGAGAGGACCCAAAGGCAGGACTAACAACACGCAGGGATAAATTCAAAACACAGCTTTATTAACAGAATGGCAAAGGGCAATATAAAACTACACTGGGATGAACTAAGGCACAGGGAGGCCACGGGGAAACGCACACAACACTGATGGATGACGCACAGAAGGTAATGAGAGACGTGGGAACACACAGGCAGCACAGCTGAGGACAAACACATAACAAGACAGGGGGGACACGGAACTGAAAATACTGACCCAAGACGTGGGCCTTAAACGTAACACAGGAAGGACACAGAGGCAGACCGGAGGGGAGAGAGAGAGCACAGGGAGAGCATAATGGGCTGTGGAAACATGGAATAAAACTCAAGGGGAAACAAGCCACAGGAACTGAGAACTATATGAACACAGATACACAGAGGGAACACAGGAGCAACGACACGGGGAAATCTAACAACCAAAAGCTAAACATAACAACCTAGGGACTAGAACTAAACTTTAAACTAACAAGGTGGACTAAAACCATAATACAAAATGACAAAACACAAGAAACTGAAACCGCTGGGTCAGAAAACCCAGGATCGTGACAATCTCAGTTAATTGCAATGAGCTGTTAAAAACTGCAGGTGAATTGATGCTGCAAGAATGACCATCCAACAATAACAATCATCCAATTTTTTTTTAAAAAGAGGTTAGTGCAAAGAGGTGTCCAAGCAGAATGCTTGAAGAACCATTTTCCTAAATATTACATTTTCAGTATGACCAATATATCTCTTGTTAGGATCCTATTAAAGGTTATGTATTTCTTCAGTCTAGGGGATGTAAGTTCAAATGTTCTCTGTCCTGCAGGTCAATAAAATAAATTTGTCTGCTTCATCCAGTCTCACAATTACTGTTTGCTAATGATTAATCTCTTAAAAACAACAAGTTTACGATGAGGGTTATTTTTAAAGGATGTATTTTATCCTTATAATAAACAAGTACATTTTCAGAAACTGGAAGGTACTACATTTCATATAATGTTGCATACATTTGTGCCATACAGTTATTCACTTAATTCTGTTTACAGGTGTTGGTGGGCCAAAGAGGCAACAGTTCTTAAAAAACATGCAAGTTACCAAAGTCTACTCCTGTCCTTGACCCTAATCCTAGATGGTTCTTCAATAATATACTGGATGTTAAGAGGTTGATCTTAAGGTTATTTTCACAATGAATCAGTCAAACATCTGGTTAAAAATATTTGAAAATAGTGATCCCCATATCCCACTGCCTTAAAACTGACATCAACAGTTAAAAACAAAATAAACTTTCAGAAAAGGGGATTTCACTTATGTTGCTAATATTTTCAGTTTAACTAAGAATCACCAGTGAATTAACTGATTGTGTATTACAGATGACATATACAGACAAGTGCAGTATTATCAGATGTGAAAATCCAAACTAGAACAGTATTAACATTACAAGACATAAAGACACGTGGGAACTGGAATGAGTGAGATCACCCCTGCAAAAATTCACAGAGCAACAGCATCACATTTCTGTCATCAAAACCTAATCTTGACGTTAATATGTAGAAGTATGTGATTTAATCACACTGATCACAGAAAATCTGTTACAGTCTGGGGCTAGTTTGCTAAGCTAGGTTATTTAGCCACTGTTTACAAGGACTAGCTTATTTATTTAGTATAAAGAAAAGCTAAAGCAGATTTTTAAGCTATGAAATATTGATAACAGAGCTTACCCAAGTCTGTCTTTGCTGCCTTAAGTCACTACAGTTTTAACCACATGTAGTCACAAATGTGAAGTCACTATGTATAAGCTTTAAGGCATGGTGTAAACAGTTTGGGTTACATGTTTGTAGGTAGAGTTTGTTGAAATCGGAAAATCTTTATTCAGCTGTTTGTCCCATGATTTCAAGCAGGTTATTTGCTAAAAGTGTTGGAAAAACTTTTAAGGTGCAAATTACAGATAACACTTTTTTTACCCTGACATGCATGTAAATAGTGGTAGGAAGACACAATATATTACAGCGCGTGCTTTAAACATTCAAAAAACATCTGTCCACGTAAGTCAAACAAATCATTAAATGGTTAGTATGTCAACTGCCTTAGTGGATTCATGGCATCAATAAAGACTCATACAGAAATACAGAAAAACATAAACCTGCTTTTTCCTGGTCTAAAACCTCCAACCTGAAAAAAATTGTTCTAATGAACAGTTTTGAGTTGTTCCAAGTCTTGTTTTTTTTTTAAGTTCAGAGTCAAGGTAAACTCATTAGCCTCCAACAAGAAGTAGATGTGTTTTGGCCTCTTCCTTACCCCCCTCATTCCCACCTCAACACGCTCGTATCACTTCACTGGAGAATTTTCTGTTGCGTGTCAGGCAGGTTGAGGGCCACAAGGCCGCCGCACACCAGCGCAGTAAAGGATAGTAGGATAGGGATGGCTTTGGTGATTCCCACACAGCTAGCAAAGATGGAGCTGCTGAGAACAGCAGCCAGTTTACACAGAGCATTCAGCACACCAGAAGCTGTTGCTCTAAGAGAAAAGAGTGACAACAGAATGACATTTTGAAGCAGCCTTATTGAAAATAAAGCTATCACCAGGACTATTCATTTCTTAACATTTTAATGTCCAAACAGAAAAAATATGGTTTTGTGTTTTTTCAAGACTGCTGTGCAATCTTTTTCACACATAAACAATATTATACATAAATCATCCTAAAGAAAATAAAGAAATGTGAACAAGGATCCAATGATGAATCACATAAATAATAAATAAATACTGAATTATTGATCTATGGTTTAATAGGTGGAGTTCAGGAACTTTTTGATCTCAAAACTTAAAATTCACATACATTTTTTAGTTGCAAGTAAAAACACGGGCTCATTTTAAATCTGATCCCAGCAGCATATTTGAGCAACAACAACAAAAAAAGAAGAAATAAATGATTTAAAAAAAGAAGTCTTTGGAATAATGAAACTTTCAAAATTAAATATTTTAATGTTTTATGTTTACCTACTGAATTTAATATGATGTGATCAAGTGGTCAGGGATATGTGATATGAGGATATTGTAATCTGCGGTTTTAGGAATGGGAATTTCTCATCAGATGCACTGATCCATATTTTGTTTGTCCCAAATACTATTATATTAATATATAAATATATAACTATTTATAGTATATTATATAAATTATATATATAAATAATATATATAAATATAATATATATAATATATATATATTATATATATCATATGTTATGTATTATGATAGCATACACAGTATTATATATATATGTATGATACATACATACATCACACAATATATATATAAATATATTATATATCATAAAATATAACATGGATTTTATTAGTATGAATTACAACACAACACATACATATATATACACATATATATATAATAAAATACATATATATAAACATACATACATACATATACATATATATATATATACATATACACACTACATATATACATACATATACATACATACATACACACACATATATATATATATATATGTATGCATACATACATACATATATGTATGTCTGCATACATGTGTGTATTTATGCATACATGTGTGTGTATGTATGTACGTACATACACACACATGTATGCATATATATATATATGCATACATGTGTGTGTGTGTATGTATGCATACATACACATACACACACGTATGCATACTTACACACATGTATGCATGCATACATGTGTGTGTATGTATGCATACACACACATGTATGTATGTATGCATACATATATGTATGCATATATATATGTATGCATATATATATACACATGTATGTATGCATACTTATATGCATACATGTATGCATACATACATACACTACCATTTTCACTGTTACTGTATGTATGTTTTTTCTTTTTTTTCATGAGTATTTACATTGTAGATTATTACTGAAGACATCAAAACTTTGAATGAACACATATGGAATTATGCACTAAAGAAAGTGGAAAATAACTCAAAATATGTTTTATATTTTAGATTCTTCAAATTGCCCCCCTTTGCTTTGATTGCTACTTTGCACACTCTTGGCATTCTCTCGATGAGCTTCATGAGGTCATCACTTGAAATGGTTTTCCAACAGCCTTGAAGGGAGTTCCTAGAACCGGCTCCGGGAGTTCCCGGACAGTTGTTGGCCCTTTTGTCTCCATCTCATCCCAAACCATCTTGATTGCATTTCGGTCAGGTGACTGTGGAGGCCAGGCAGCCTAGCGCAGCGGTCCCCAACCTTTTTTGCGCCACGGACCGGTTTATGCCCGACAATATTTTCACGGACCGGCCTTTAAAGTGTCGCGGATAAATACAACAAAATAAAACTAGTACCGAAAAAGAAGATTTATTCATAACACACGTGAAAAGACCCAGGAAAACCGAGTTAACGATAAAAACGATAACAAAATAACGCTAAAAACCGATAAAAACCCTGAAAACCATACATTTCACACCCGAGCCTCAATTCTCGCCGCCCGGTAGCAAACGACTCACGGACCGCTACCGGTCCGTGGCCCGGGGGTTGGGGAACGCTGGCCTAGCGCAGCACTCCATGACTCTCCCTCTTGGTCAAATTGCCCTTACACAGCCTGGAGGTGTGTTCGGGGTCATTGTCCTTTTGGAAAATAAATAATGGTCCAACTAAACGCAAACTGGATGGGATGGAAATTTGCTGCAGGATGCTGTGGTAGCCATGCTTCAGTGTGCCTTCAATTTTCAAGAAATCTCCAACAGTGTCACCAGCAAAGCACCCCCAGACCATCACACCTCCTCCTCCATGCTTCACGGTGGCAACCATACATGTAGAGACCATCAGTTCACCTTTTGCATCACACAAAGACTTGATAAAAGCCTGACTTGTGCAGTCTTTTCTGAACAGTTAAAGTAGAGATGGGTCTGCTACTGGAACTCTGTGTGGCATTTATCTGGACTCTAATCTAAGGTGCTGTTAACTTGCGATTTCTGGGGCTGGTGACTCACATGAATGTATCCTTAGCAGCAGAGGTGACTCAAGAAGTGACATTCAAAGTTTTAGAAATTTTCCAGAGCGACTGATTTTCAGTTCTATCACTTCTGTCAACAGAGCAAATGGTGGCTACTTTCAGGAATCTAATCTTGCTACATAATTCCATATATCTTGCTTCATATATTTGATGTCTTCAGTTTTTAGCTACAATGTACTTTTGACACACACACACACACGCACACACACACACACGCACACACACACATATGTGTGTGTATATATAAGAAGAAAAATACTGGTACCTCTTTGAAGCTGGATACAGTTCCACAGTCACCACTTCAATTCCATTCCATGCAGCTGCACTAACACCACAGAACAGACACTGTAGTGCAATGATTGCTGATTGGCTGAAGCTTAGAAACAGGAAAAATGTACAGCCTGCTGAAATCAGCATGGATCCACCTAGGGAGATCAGAGTTTTGTAATGAATCCTGTAGAATCAGTATTTTTAATAAATTGCACCATATTTATAGAATGCATTAAGAGTTCATTATAACATAAGTTCTAAAATAATGTAATATAAAGTTATGGCCTATATAAGATAATCAAATATAGATGTAAAGCTAGGTGAAATTATGTCCAGAAATGTTTGGACAGTGACACAACATTGCTTCTGAATGCCACCACAGGTATGCAATGAAACTATGAACTGAAATGCAGACTCACAGATTTACACTCCCTGTAAAAAGAAAATACCCTCTTTAAATTTAAAGTTTAATGTATCAGGATATAATAATAATAAAAAAGAATCTGGTCCATATGGAAAAGATATATATAAATCTTATAAAGTTTTTATCTGTCTTGTATGACACTTGTATGAAAAGCATACAAGAGTGAAAACACATATAAGATCCCTTGAAAAATTATATAATGAAACTTGTATGTTTTGTATACTTACTAAAAAATATATGAAAGTAATGAGAAAGTGGCCACTTTCATGAGTAAATCATATATGTTTTTACTATTTCTTTTCCATATGGGAGGAGGTCTTAAAACTTGGTAAACGCAATCTCAGATGACAACTAAAACACCTTATTATTACCTTTATTTAACCAGGAAGCCCATTTGAAACTCTCAGAAACTTTCAGAAATGCAATAAATACAACACAAAATACAAGCTCTACAACATTACATACGGTACGAAAATATGAAAGATATACATAATATTCCTTGACTGCATTCCTAACTCCTTTACAAACTTCCATAATTTACCTATGATCTTTACTCTGCCAATCTTCTCCATGTAGAGAGCTGAGATGATGTTGCCTGGCAGCACTGCCAGACTGCCTAGGAAGCTGACCAGGTAGATGAGGACATCATTCTCCTTAGCAGTATCTAGGTGGCAGCCATGCTTGTTGTGTTCAAAGGTGGTGTTCTCCATCTTACAGTCAATAAACTTTGCCTCCCACAGGTCTACAGAGAGTAGAAAGGCTATTATATAATATACTTTACTTATTAGTGTTAATATACTTTAAATGGCTTTTGTGTTTGCAGATGTTTTTGGAACTAAATTACAAGAGCCATTAACTGACACCTCATCATATCTCTAAAAGGTTTATTGACTTGTTTTTGCATTTGAATACTGCTATAAATACAATAAATAAACAAACAAAAACCGGAAAAACTGTCTATAACTGTCTATATTAGTAGTCTCAGATACACGGTTCTACACTATACAGATATAGGAAAACAGTTTTACAATACACAACTGGTAAAAAGTTTTAGCCATTCTGGGTGTGTCTCATTGACTAGCAGCTGGTTCATTTGTGCTGCTAGACACTAATGGAGTGCAGTCAGCTTCTTCAGCCAGTAGGTGGGAATCATGTCAGGGCCTGGTGCTGTCCAACTGTTTCTTGGATCTCTGGATCCTGTTCAGGCAGGTTGCTATGGTCTGCTCTTGGATCCACTACCCCCAATACTCTTGCAGTACTCTTCACTTGTCATACCTTGATTGTATACCTTGAATAGTTTTGTGGAGAACACCAGGTTCATTCTCCTGCCTTCAGTACCTCTTCAGGTGAGTCTTTGCTTGGCAGTTCACCAGGCCTCAGGTATGGACAGCTTGCCGTACTTCTTTGGCACCTTCTTCATTGCACCTTTCTGCAACTCCCTTTGTGCTACCATGATTTTTTCATCTAGTCTCCTTCTCCATGGAGGGTACTGCTCCTTCTGGCTGTTCGTCTTGTATTCAAGCATCTCACTGATTACTGCTGCCGTGGTGTAGATCAGCTGATTAGTCTTGATGATGGTCACAGTAGGAATGTCCATAGTGCTGCATTCACATCGTCTAGTAGACCTTCAGGGGTATTTCACGTAATCTTGGTAACCAGCTGTGGAGGGTCCAGGTTTTAAGCTTCTCCACGATCCTATATTTCAGGTCAAATCCTCTCACACTCAACGATCCTTCTTCCATCGTACTTGGCCCTTGGTACACAATCTCGGGTGGGGGTGATGATGATATCTCCCCCCCGTTGTCCTGGCTCCCTCTTGCCATAGAATATGTGATGTAACCCATCATTTTCTAGCCATGACAACAGTTCCTTCTTCTGAATGTTGGAACACACAGCTACATATATTCATTCTTTGCATGTTGTTCTGGGGTCTTTTGTGACATCTTGGATAAGTTGTCACTGCATTCATGGGGTAAATTTCTGTGTCCGGTCACTTCTGGGAATGTTCACCACTGTTCCATGTTTTACAACAGTGCTCACTCTGGTTTGCCGGAGTCCCACAGCTTCAGGACTGGCTTTGTAACCTTTTTCTGACTCAGAGATTTAGAAACTATATTCTGTGTTTACTAGTATTATCTTTGTCTAATATTTACATTTTTTTGATGACCTGTGTGACAAACATACACAAGAAATAGAAAATCAGGAAGGGGGCAAACACTGTAGTTAATGAACTGTGGCTTGAATGACAGGGACATAGAACCTCACAGTTTTAATTATTGTAATTATTATATTAATTTTTGGTGATAAAAGATTAAAATGTTTAGCTGAAGCCTGTGACTGTTCTCAAACTAATGAAAAATGTGAAACCACATTTCTAAATGAAAATCACTGGAGGCAGACAATTGGAAAGCAGTAGAGTAAATCATGGTTTAATATTTTCAAAATCGCTGGGATTTCTGTCATCCAAAAAACAAATATTGAAATTATAAATTGACTGGTTCTTATACAGCACTTTTCTACTCCCTCTGAGCACTCAAAGTGCTTTACACATTTGCCTCATTCAACCACACAAGCATTTTTTTCTATGCAAGTGCTTTCTATCTAACATTCATACTCTGATAGATGCATCAGAGAGTAACTTAAGGTAGGTTTCTCACCCAAGGATATTTGGCATGGAGACTGAAGCAGACAGGGATTGAACCACCAACCTTCCCATTAGTAGGTGACCTGCTGTTCTTCCTGTGCTACAGCCCTCCCAAAAGATTAACATTACATTAAAAGAAAGAAAATGTAGGTATAATGTTCAATAAAGACACCCTTTATAAAAATGTAAAGTTCTCTAGTCATTGCATTGACGAACTTGGATGACGGTGCTGCCTATCCACCTGCCCGCCCAGCAGAGTGACGATAATGCCCTATCAGCCTTTCAACCCCTCATACCCCTCAGGTATGAGGGGTTTCTACCCCTCATACCTGCGGGGTAGAAACCATTTTCACTCACATTCACATTCGTTTCTATACCAAAGCTGCAACCAATTCCAACAAATTGTCCCATTCAAACTTACCTGTGTTGTAGAAGACAGTGGAGTGGATGGTGCAGTTCTCAAACACTGTTTCAGAGGACCTGATGTTCTCAAAGTGACAGTCTTCAAACAGAGAGTCTTTAAATTTCACTGACTTCATCTCTATATTGATGAACCTATGAGAATGGGATGGACAAAGAGCCTTTCTCAAATCTAAGCACTGACTTGTGTTCTTGAGTTCAAATTTACCTCAGGAATATAAATCCTTAGGGACAGAAGGGCAATTTCAAAATAGAACCACAGCTTTCTTGGTAAATGTTACATATCAACACGTCAGTACCTGACTGCACCGAAACAAAATTATCTACAATCAAAAACTCCACTACAGGTATGTTTCCTTAACAGGTACTTAAACGAGGGAGAAGAAACTATTTAAGGGACTCATTTTATCAGTTTCTGTTTAAGCTGAATAACTAAATAACTAAGTGGAATAACTAAAGCAGAGTTTTGTCTCCAGAGGGTCCTTGCATACCGGGTAGTGTTTCTGAAGTTTCAGGAAGTAAGAAGTAAGCATACATTTTATGTGCCTAGTTTTTTAAATGTGTTGTTTGTAGGGTGACAACAATTTAGAAAGTGCTGGAAAAGAGTTTTTAAAGGGATGAAATGATGACCATAAAGTCAATTTTTGAAGAAGACAATATTCACATAGAGTGTAGGTATGGTTTCAAGCAGCATTGTAAATACATAATGCACCATACTAACGCTGAATTTTCCTGCCTAACCCTAACCCAAATCCATGAGCATCACAGCAAAATTTATTCTAGCTTGCATTTCATCTGTTCCTGTTTCAGGTAGGTCATGACCAGTCGTTCCTCAAGCTTAGCTGTTGGCAGATTTCTCATATTTGAATCAGCACAAGATAATGATTTAATTAGAACTTGGCTATATATAAGTTTTAAAGGATGCTATATAAAGGATGTTCAATAATCTACAAGAACACAAGTACAGGTGAGAATACAGATTGAGAAATGGAAAACATGGACTCTTACTTCTATTGCTATCAGCACAGAATCAGAATGGACAGTGGGCATAAATCCAAAACTGACACAAGTTGAAGCATGCAAAAGCATGTTGGAGTGAAAATGGTGGAACAATCTTCATGGCAATACAATGTATGAAAAAAGAAGCCCTGTTATAATCATGTGGTTCATGTCAAACTGAAAGTTAAACCCAATTCTGTGCATTTTATTCTAAAAGAGCATAGAAGTTTGTAAAATATATAACAAAATATACATTATATCTGTACTTAAAACTTGAAGATGCATTCCCTTATTTGAGAATGCTAAGGTTCAGCTGTGAATGGTACCTGCACAAGTGTAGAGCTCTAGCTCTAACCCCTGTTAAAATACCCAGAGTTAGAGTATTAAGCATAGGTGAATATTGGTTTGCTGTTGTTGTTGTTTGTTTTTTAATATATATTTGGTAATACGAACAAATTGCAGCGATATGTTTTGGCAACAGCTGTATTTGAAGCTTTAGCTCAACTCTGAAGACAGATAAAAACTGCCGATGCCTGTGGATGTCCTTTTTAATAACTTGTCCTTCAGAGTCAGAGGTACAGCCCAAATCACAAATTGCCCTTAATTTAACCAAAATACATTACATTTCAATCCCTGTCCATTCCAAGCTATTTTTAGTCAGTCAAATACCAACTCACCCTTTTTAGTTTTCACCTGTAGGAACTATTTTATGACAAACTGAGCCAGGAATCACACGGTACAGCAAGGGTTCTGTGGTTCTTTAGGCTTATGCCAAGAAAGCATACCAGTAACAAGCCAGAAAAAATTCAAGACTAAATCATATTCTTATATTTATCGCTGTGCAGGAGGATATTAATACTTATCTATCTGAATTATTACAGGGTCTTTACCTTACAATAATAAAGCACTTTGAGGCAACTGTTGTTGTGATTTGGTGTTTAAAAAAAAATAAAATTGAACTGAATGTTATTGAATTGATTTGAAAGTGTGTCAAATAAATATCGAAACGAATCACAAGCTGACCCTCATCCTTACTAGCAGAACTAGCTATTGCCACACTGGTGCTTAAGGTATCCACTAGATGACATCTGAGTAATAAATGGTGCAGCCAGTAGCATCACTGGTGCAAATGTTAGCTGAAATGGCTGTGTGGCACCCAGAGCAAGCATGGGTTTAAGCACCTAGAGTTGCTGCAGGCTTTGTTGGACAAGTAGACCAAGCTGCTGCAGAGCCTGCTGTCCCGGTTGAGAATGGCAACCTCCCCACCGGTCTCCAAGGTCATAGTAGTAAAAGGTGCTTTGGTTGTTCACTTAGAGTAGAAAAGGGCTATATAAATACCAGTACATTTACCATTTTCAAAGCAGACAGGACTGTGCGTTTTTCGCCCTACTGAAGGATGCTGCCAAGGTGACTGGAGCTGGGGGAGTCTGAATGAGAACAATGGCTGCTGGAGCTGATGGTGACAGATATTCATTTATATGCTTCCACTGCAGACATCAGAATAGGTGAGGATGTGGCCATCATGCTAGCTACCATGTACCCGTACCCAACCTGCAGAACAAACACCTGCCACCCGTCCCAGGCATTTCCAGAATGAGTGTACACTCAAAGAGGTTGGTCAGGTGGTCTGGGCCACCAGCTCTCCAAGGTTCAGGATGAACATACACCATCCAGTAAGAATGCAATGAGGTATATGGGGTATACACCAAATCTGAAGAAAAAAAGGTTGGGGACCGCTGCGCTAGGCTGCCTGGCCTCCACAGTCAGATCTACCTTTGGCGGCCCATACCCTGGGAGGGGTGACGGGCAGTAGTAGTATACGCCAGGCATGAGTGGATTCAGGCTGTACACAGTCACTAATCCACCAGAGCCTGGTTCAGAACCTGAGCTATGGTGGAGTTATTGTGTGTGGATTTTAAGCATGCACATAATAATGTTCACAGTTGTCCCATAGTGCCAGTGAAAATTAAATAGAGGGCCAAAACAGAGAATCAAGGCCGCAAATAGTTCCTGCCTTGCGCAGCTGCTGATTTTGTAAATAGACTGGCTGGGGTCTACCGGTAGCGTCTCCTTTCAGGCCAGGATACACGAATGTCACCGAGCAGTGACTAAGTTTGTGGTAAAAGGCTTGCACCCATTTGCCACAGCAGATGCCCCCGATTTTCGATAAGTGAATGTGTTTAATTGTAGGCAGGGACATTACTGGATATTCTTGTGTAATTGCTACTGAATAATTTATGTTATACGTTGTTATTGCTACAGAAGAAAGTTTATTTTATTATTTTACATTTGCAATTTTTTTTCCTGGGGACCCTGTGACACCCCATTGAAGAGCCATAGGCTGGGGGGCTGGGAGGAGGTGCTGGCCGTCAGACTGGGGTCTGGGATGCGGGGCCTCCCTGCTACTGCAGATAAGGAGGTGGTCCGCTTGCCTCCACCCCAGAGAGAAGGGTTACATCTCCTGGGTCTAGGTGCGGCTTGCCCCTCTGGGGGCGGTGGTACCTGGACCTGGGATATAGAGTATGTTTGGGGAGTGTGACTGTCTGTGCAGTGTCTATTTGTGTCTGTCTACACGTTGGGTGAGTGCCGAGTATTTGGTTGTGTATATGGGGTGGGAATGCACGTTTGTGTCCACGTGCGCCTGTTCGTCTGTGTCTATATGTCAGGTTGGGTCTTAGACTCAACCTCTCTGGGTACATCTCAGGCCCTCTAAAGTACGGAGGCCTATCTCCCCTCACCACACTCCCTTCAGGTGGCTGATGCCCTCAGACGTTGGTGTGTTGGTGGTCCTTGTCGTCTGGGGCTGGGCGCTCATGTATGTACCGGCTCACTCCTGGTGGCCGATTGGCGGGGCCTGGTGCCTGTGGCCCGGCTGGGCCCCTTCCAGGGGGTGGGGTGCCCTCAGGCCTCTGGGCTTGAAGCTCAGTCCTCTCTGGCACAGCTAGCCGCCGGCAGAGCCCGCAGGCACGCCACTGCAACCCCCTCTGGCCTCTGCTCCGTAGCTGCTGGGTGACCTCTCCTTTGGGGCTTTACTCTCTGGTGTGGACCCATATAGACACTTTAATAGTGTTGAAATCAAATCTGACAGTGTTAATTTGGACATGCTGGATTTGCTGTGCAGGTATGCACACAGGTGTACACACGGGTGTTCACAGACGCGGACTACACCTTTCTTGGCTGCTGCCTCAAAGCACATTGTGCGCTGTCTATCTTGTGTGCTGCACAATATCGTTTATTATTTAGTATCTACTGATATCTACTGCTAGCTAGTTTATTGTGATGGTGCGTATTTATTATGTTGCTTTTTTTGTTTGCTTTCTCTTCTGTTTTTTTTCTCCATACAGGTGACCAGGTGTTTTTTTGTTTTTTTTTTTCTTTCCCCCCTTCTCACCGTCTCTTCTCCCCTTTGGTTTTCTTTCTCTCCCTCTCTTTCTTTCATTCTTTCTCCCTGTCCTATCCCCCAGTCATGTCTGTCCCGTTTGTAGCAACTGAAAATAAAATAAATTCATAATTATAATAAAGGTCAATCAAATGGACCAATATGGCAAGGCCATGATGATCCACTTGGTAAAATAAATCCGCTTGGCATCTTTCTTGGCCTTAAGACAACAATTCTGATGGCTAAAGATCCAAACGGGACACAAAAAAAAAAAAGAAAAAAAAAAGAGCCGTAGGCTGGATCTCTTAAGATCTCACTGTTGGGTTTGTAAGGCCATGTTACTCCTAAATTTCTATCTTGTTCAAAGAGAAGATATAAAACAAAGTTCTAAGCTATTCGACCTGTGTGTTCTCCTTTTTTTAAAAGAATCGATAAAGAATCGAATCGTTAAACAGAATCGAAAATGGAATCGGAATCGTTAAAATCTTATCAATACCCATCCCTACTTTCAGGTTATTTCCTCTCATAGGAATCCTGAAAGAGATTCTGATGGACCAGAGCACATCATTCATGTTCCACACACTGAGAGAGCTTTATGAATTCCTATGTATTATGTCTATTCTGACCAGTGGATATCACCCCTAGACAGATGGCCTGTTGAAGCAGCTGAATAAGACTCTAAAACCCACAATTCATAAGTTCATTAGTGATGATGAACACTACTAGGACCATTGATTGTATTGGTGATTGGATCTTC